GGCCTCAGAAGCAGAAGTCTTCAGAACCGAGGTTTCCTAAAACATACTCATTCAAAGATGACGAGGTGCCCGCCATCTTCAAATATTTGTTGGAGAACAACAAAATCCAGCTGCCGGCGATTGTAGATCAAGAGGGGGCTAGCAAAGTAACGGATCCGAAATACTGCGCGTATCATAGAGCGGTCCATCACCCTACGAGGTCATGCTACCACCTCAAGGATAAGATCCAGGCATTAATTGATATGGGCGTCATAACTCCAAAGCCTGCCAAGAATGTGGGGGCGAACGCGGTGTCAATCAGCTTTGGATCGGTGCCTACAACTTGGTTCGAGCCAAAACGTGTCACCAAAGTCGGGATGAAGACGATGAATGATGACCCGCACGGACAGCGCCAAAAGGGACTTGTGCCACATACAACCCCAAACGGCGAAATCCTCTGGGTTCATCCCGATCTCATTGAAGACGAACAGTGGACGATTTCCTCTAGAAGGAAGGGTAAGGGCAAGTCCTGCAATGCTACATCCGCAATCTTCGAGGAGGATGGCGATGAAGCTCCTACTTTCCCGCTCTCCGAAGAAGAACAAGAAGTCTTCGCCACTAGAAGCGGAAATGAGTATCACTACAATTATCCACCACCTAGCGAGCAGGGGGTGAATAAGCGGGGACCAGCTAAAACCCTCACGGAGATGGGAGTGATCACGAGTCCTACACCGGGTGAAGAAGCTCAACGACAGCCGGTGAACAAACCAAAAGAGAAGAATCCCCAGGAGATTCAGAATCCGAAGCAGTCTCGTTTCAGTCGTCCGATTAGAAGAGATAAACCGGAGAGCTCGAAAACTCCGCAAATTTTCGATATAATGGCTCAACTAGCCAACATTCCAGCACGGATAACGTTATATGAATTGCTGCGGTTGTCCAAGGAGACCAGGGAAGCCTTATAAGAGGCCTTGGCCGATTCAGAAGCGTTCCTCACTCGGATCAAGCCGGCTCCAGAAGGACCAGAACTGTTAGCTCAACAGTGCAATGTAGCGGCTAAGAACCTTCCCTGCATCACCTTCACCAAAGAGGATATGCAGACGAAGAATTCGAACCATGATCGGCCCCTATACTTCGTCGGGTACATTGGCTCCAGCGAAGTCAACCGAATCCAAGTGGATCCGGGTTCCGCTGTGAGCATTATGCCGCTACGCCTAATGCATAGCCTTGGCATTCCAGTCAGCAAATTGGCATCTACAGGCACGGTCATTTACGGATTCAACACTAGCGGGTCAAGGCCTTTGGGAAAGATCCGGATAAAGTGCCAAATGGGCGATCTGAAGACGGAGGTCACGTGTTACGTGATTGATGCTGAGACATCATATAACTTACTTTTGGGTCGGCCTTGGATCCATAGTAACGTTATAGTTCCCTCCACCCTACATCAGTGTCTGAAATATGTCGACACTGATGGAAGGGTCAGGACGGTGGTCACGGATAAGCAACCATTTAAAGGGTTTGAGAATTATTTCACTGATTCTCTCCTTTATGGTAACGAATACGATACTGAACCATCGGTCCAAGGCACGGACAGCGGAGAAGAAGCTGATGCCGAACCCGGATTCGATTACAATGGTGATTTTGTTTTAAACGACATTGTACCCTTTGTAATCAATCTTGACGATGGACAATCGTCAGATGGCAGTTGTAACTGGCAACTTGCCAATATTGAAATAAAAGATGATTTAGAGTACTCGTTGTCTCTTGATGATGCGATAAAGGGATTACACGATAATCTTGATTTATGTATGCCGCTCCGATCATCTTACGTAACAAAGGAACGCCTCCAGCATTCTTTCGGAACAACCATGGTCATCCCGAACAAAATAAGAGGCGCAAAAGAAATGATTTACGGTAAAGGAAAAAGCTCCCCATTACCAGATCATTTCTTAAGCGAAGATGAAGATGATGACAAACCTGGTCGACATTTATCTAAGTATAGTCCAAAAGCACGCAAGCTCATGGAAAAACAGGGATATAACTTCGCACTCGGAGAAGGTTTGTACTTTGATCGAGGTTCCCGTATCCCAGCCAAAGCAGCATATGTACCAAAAGGGAAACCGGATGATTATTATCGTCACAAAAGAGGCTTAGGCTATGTTTATGATGATGAATGTGGTTGGCAAATTATCGATCAAATTGCTAACAAAGCTAAGGATGGGTACTCTTCTGATTCTTCAACTGGAGATTCCGATACAAGTCTGGGAGAAGTCTTCAAAGCCCTAATGGCGAACATGGCTACAGCTGATCCGTCCATAATAGAAGACGACGATCAAATGCCAACATGGGAAGACCCGTGGGTTCATCACCTGAACATGCAGTATGGTGATAGGTTCGAACAGAGGGAACCCCCCACTGAAGATAAAATAGTCCAAGTTAACATGGACGACGAGACCAACCCAAGGCCGATATTCATCAGCGATAGTCTTCCTTCAAATGAGAAGGAGGAACTAATCGCTCTCATCAAGGAATACATTGACGTTTTCGCTTGGAACTATGAAGATATGCCAGGGCTCGACCCCAATGTAGCAATGCACCGCCTCGATATCAAGCCGGATACCAAACCTATCAAACAACAGCAAAGACGGTTTCGTCCGCAGATAATGGAAGCCATTGAGGCAGAGGTTAAGAAATTGATCGAATCGGGATTTATCCGAGAGGAGCAGCATCCAGACGGGTTAGCCAATATCGTCCCAGTCATGAAGAAAAATGGTAAAATCAGGATATGTATCGACTTCAGGGACTTGAATGCGGCATGTCCAAAAGATGACTTTCCTCTCCCAATCACGGACGTCATCATCGACAATACGTGTGGATTCGAGAGAATGTCCTTCATGGACGGCTTCTCGGGATATAACCAAATCAAGATGCACCCAGATGACGAGAAACATACAGCATTTAGAACGCCCCTCGGTGTCTTCTGCTACACGGTGATGCCTTTCGGTCTGAAGAACGCAGGCGCCACATACCAACGAGCGATGACTAAAATTTTCCAAAAGCACCTCAGGAAAACGGTTGAGTGCTACGTTGATGATTTGGTTGTAAAAAGCCGCAACAAAGAAGATCACATCAAGGATTTGAAGACGATGTTCGATCTCATGCGGAGTCATCAATTGAAGATGAACCCCACTAAATCCTTCCTTGGAATGTCCAGCGGAAAATTCCTTGGATTCGTCGTCACCACTAAAGGTATACATATCGACCCTGACAAGGTAAAGGCGATACATGAGTTGCAACCCCCGAGGAATCTAAGAGAACTCAGAGGATTGCAAGGGCGTTTAGCTTACATCCGGCGTTTCATCTCAAATCTCTCTGGGAAGTGCCAACCCTTCTCTAAGCTAAACAAGAAAGGTGTGTCATTTATTTGGGACGATTCCTGCCAAAAAGCACTCGAAGATATCAAGACGTATCTGACGAACCCTCCTGTTCTTGTCGCACCAAAATCAGGTAAACCGTTCTTGATTTACATCAAGGCGATGAACCATTCGATAAGTGCTTTATTAGCACAAGACGATGATAATGGTCACGAACAGGCAGTTTATTATCTAAGTCGGACTTTGGTAGACGCCGAGTCCCGATATCCGATGATTGAGAAAGAATGTCTCGCATTGGTATTCGCGGTACAAAAGATGCGGCATTATTTGGTCGGACAGACGATTTACGTTATCTCTAACGTTAATCCGATACGGGTATTTATGACGCAACCGGGTTCGATGAATTGGCGGTTAGCAAAATGGGCCCTTCTCTTGTCCCAGTATGACTTGCACTTCAAACAACAGAAGTCGGTCAAAGGACAAGCGATTTGTGATCTTTTGGCGGCAAGCCCGACAACAGATACGGCAGAAGTATATGATGACTTGTCGGATGAAACCCACGAGGTTAACACTACGTCGCATCAAGAAGTATGGCAATTATACTTTGATGGTGCTTCGAGATCAGTTAATAAAGCAGTAACCCCCGGATGTCCTAAAGTCTCCTCCAGAGTTGGAGTTGTCTTAGTTTCCCCGGGGAAGCATGTGATGCCTCGAGCTTACTCTCTGACAGATCCATGTTCCAATAACGTAGCCGAGTACAACGCGCTCCTTATTGGACTCAGTTTCGCCAAGGAGCTGGGGGTCGAATATCTCGAAGCTTTTGGAGATTCTCAATTGATCGTCAATCAAGTCCGTGGGGAGTATGAAGTCGGGAACCAAGACTTGATCCCATACCACCAGGAAGCCGTCAAAATGGCAAGTTCTTTTGAAGAATTCTTTATCGAGTACATCCCTCGTCTCCAGAACGCTTATGCGGATGCACTGGCAGCACTAGCAGTATCACTCGCGCAGCCGCCCGAAACTGAACTACTAGTCATAGTGAGATCACATCAACTCTGTATACCCATATATAATATGGATAACGAAGAGGAAGATGACAAAAATGCGAACGCCAAGGAGGTGAACTTAACTCAAATCGGGTCTGGGTCCCGAGATTGACGTTTTCCCATCATTGACTACGTCCAATATGGCATTTTGCCGGAAGATGTGAAAGAAAGAGAATCTATTCGCCGAAGAGCACCAAGGTTCTTCTATAATACCGAGACCCGTACATTATACCGTCGAGGGTATGATGATTTGCTCCTCCGATGCCTTTCGAACGAAGAAGCAGAAGAAGTTCTTAAGGAAGCACATGAAGGAGAGTGCGGCGCGCATCAGCCCGGTCCCAAACTGTATGATCGCATCAGGAGAATGGGATATTTCTGGCCAACAATG